TCAAGCCAGGTCATTGGAGATAGACAGCGGCTTTTGGGAGAGACCTTTGCCCAGTCATGAATGTCATTGATGCCCATCCAAGGAGCAAAGGAATCCCCTGCACTGTTTGGTGTAGATACTCTGGAAAGATGTGGTTCTAGAGGCAGACTGTCACCATTTGAAAGCCAAAACTGGTAAGTGTTGTCCTCTTTTTCAGGTTGTGAAGGCACATTTGACAATGTAGCTTTATCAGAACACTCCTGCTCTGTATTTTTTTTATTTTCAGCATTCAAAGAAATTGATGGCATGCTGTCCACCAAAGAGGCGGATTCATATGAGCACCCAAACTGGCAAGTATCTTTCCCAGCATCAGTCTGTGGTGGCTCCTTAGACAGAGCAGCTGTATCGGAAGACTTATTTTGATCTTTTGTTTTGTCCTCGTTTTCAGCATCCATTGGAATTTGTGGAATGTTGTCTACCAGAGAGTCAGGCAATGAAGACAGTAAAGAGTCTGGTGCTGGGTTCACCATATAATCATAATCTTTTGTTCTGGGTTTTTTCCGGCCCGATTTTGTTTCATTGCCTCTCCCTCTCTTCCGCATCACTGAGAGGCTGTATGTTCGATTTGTAGCAAAGTGAAGCCCCGTAGCCATTTCTACTGCAAAAATGTGGTAGCATTTTCCAGTGCTGGGACAAGAGCATAATGCACCATTTGCAGTATTCCGAACTACATGTACTGATTCGTTTGAGGGACTTTTCACGACAAACACTTTCAATGATGGATTTAGACTCACCAGACCCATTTCAATGACTGTCTTGGCCAAAGATGTCTGAGAAGACAAAAGTTTCACTCCTTCAACTTTGCATGGCTCATTTTCTGTGTTGGTCTTTATTCTTTTGATGATTTCTTCCAAAGGAAGAAAAGGGGGCATTTTCACATCCGTCACTGCTACACTGAGGTTCTGCTTCATTGCATAATTTCCCAAGCCACATTTTGCCCTCTGAAATTCAAATAAAAAGTATGACTGCATGTAGTACAGTGAGAGCACCATTGCGTCCACTGGAAGTTCTCGCCATTCATTTTGGGATTTTATCATTTTGTTGATGCTCTCACTTATATTGTTTGTTGGTGTTTTGTCTTTAAATGCACAGAATTGTTTGTTGTAGTATGCAGCCATGTTTTCACAAATGTCTGCTTTCAGGTGATGGTCAAAGTAGCAGAGGAATCCTTCTGACCATACTTTTCCGAAGGCATCATAGCGGGCATCAAACTCATCTGGACAGGAGGAATCAATGAGCTGCTCAACATGGTCTTTTAGGACCTTCACATCATCCCTTTTCCCCCCATGTGTCTTAACCCAATATTCCACATCTCGCAAGATGTGGTTGCGGCAGAACACTACACTTAGATTGGGAAAGTTTTTTTTCAAAGCACCTACAATTCCTTTCTCCCTGTCAACTGTCACTGGTATCTTTTGGTATTTTTTTGAGTCCATTCCCAGCTTTCCAAAAATCTCAGTCAGAAATTTCTCATGGTGTTGCATGAATTTACGTTCATGTAGCATGAAGCCAACTGGATACACTGGGTCATTGACCAGTGCAGTGTTTCTCATAGCCAGCACAGACACATAAAAATCCCCCATTTGAAATGTTGTGTCATAACTAATCATTTGTGGGTACTCAAACCTCACTGATTCATCTAAGTTTGCACATGCCAAATCAACAATGTCTGTCATGCCAGCATAAACAAGAAGGTCCGGGAACGTTGTAATGTTCCATATGAAACCTGGTAGTTGGTATGCCAATTCATGCAAACTAAACAGTTCATCTCGTGATATTCGTTGGTTGCATCTTTGTGCATATACTGTGTTCTGGACTTGTTTAAGGTTTCGTGGTGTGTTTACTGCCATGTGCTCCAGATTAACACTGCCTGTTTTAGCAAGGACAGTTTTGTAGATGTTTGACGGGGCTTGACCGTGATCGTTTAAAAGTATGTTCGAGAAAACTTCTTTTTTGGAGGGAATAAATACTCGGTCCGTTTTGGCATTTCCATGCTTTCGTGGTACATATACGGTCTCATTTCCCAGGTAATGAATCAAATAGGATTTTTTTTCCTCATTAACAAGAGAGTAAACGCACTTCCTGAATTCTGAGGAGGTGCCTTTTTCACATTCACCAGCTCTAATGTGATAGTAGCGTTTTAAAACCCTTCCCCCATACTTTCTGATGTTGTGATAATTTGAACCCTTCTGCTTCCACATCATTTGATCAAACCTAAAGTCCATGTTAGGTTTATCTGACTGTGAACTTGTGTAAAGGAACACATCACCACCCTTTGGATGTAATGGTGGTTCGGTGGAAATTAACTCCTTGTATTTTTCAACATCATCTAGAATTGCTTCTGCTTCTTTAAGTGTAAACTCTGACTGTCTTTGCATTAAAGTCATTTTTTATATTCACCTGTGTCAATGTGAATATACAATAAAGGGGGAAAAAAGACAAAACAAACAAATACAACAAAATATAAAATACTATACTATAATATAATATACTATAATATTAGTAATAATATAATATACTATAATATAATATTATATAATATATGTATATTAAGAATACCCTGGTAATTAAAGGCTTTTTATAAAGAAATTTCGATTCCAAAAATCTGAACTTAATGATCTATACAGCGACTAGCAAGGTGACTGCACAAATGACAGTTTGTGGTGTCAGTGCCACTGACATTGCCTTATATATACCTACAAATGACAGTTACACGGATTTCAAAAGATTACATTGTGTGGTGATTGGACATCCAAAAACAAAGATTTGTGATTGGTTGTAGGCAACCTTGTCCTCTAAAATGGGGCGTGTTCACAAAAGGCCGTTGAAGGGGATTTTTTTTTTTTTTTACTCCGCAACGTTTTCTTATGGTTTTCTATGGGAGGAAAATGCTTAACATGTAATTAAACACGTTGCGTTGATATTCTGGACTCATCTTATTTTTTTATACATAGTATGGTTTATTAATATGATGTGTACTGAATTTGGTCTTTTAATATCACTGTCTTGGTACAGTAAGCCACGTTAAGCGTTTTCTCATGATGGTTTCAATGGGAAGAAAATGCTTAACGTGTTATTAATCGCGTTGTGTTGATATCTTGGACTCATCTTATTTTTTTATACATAGTATGGTTTATTAATATGATGTGTACTGAATTTGGTCTTTTAATATCACTGTCTTGGTACAGTAAGCCACGTTAAGCGTTTTCTCATGACGGTTTCAATGGGAAGAAAATGCTTAACGTGTTATTAATCGTGTTGCGTTGATATCCTGGACTCATCTTATTTTTTTATACATAGTATGGTTTATTAATATGATGTGTACTGAATTTGGTCTTTTAATATCACTGTCTTGGTACAGTAAGCCACGTTAAGCGTTTTCTCATAACGGTTTTGTATGGGAAGAAAATGCTTAACGTGTTATTAATCGTGTTGCGTTGATATCCTGGACTCATCTTATTTTTTTATACATAGTATGGTTTATTAATATGATGTGTACTGAATTTGGTCTTTTAATATCACTGTCTTGGTACAGTAAGCCACGTTAAGCGTTTTCTCATAACGGTTTTCTATGGGAAGAAAATGCTTAACGTGTTATTAATCGCGTTGTGTTGATATTCTGGACTCATCTTATTTTTTTATACATAGTATGGTTTATTAATATGATGTGTACTGAATTTGGTCTTTTAATATCACTGTCTTGGTACAGTAAGCCACGTTAAGCGTTTTCTCATAACGGTTTTGTATGGGAAGAAAATGCTTAACGTGTTATTAATCGCGTTGTGTTGATATTCTGGACTCATCTTATTTTTTTATACATAGTATGGTTTATTAATATGATGTGTACTGAATTTGGTCTTTTAATATCACTGTCTTGGTACAGTAAGCCACGTTAAGCGTTTTCTCATAACGGTTTTGTATGGGAAGAAAATGCTTAACGTGTTATTAATCGCGTTGCGTTGATATTCTGGACTCATCTTATTTTTTTATGGTTTATTAATATGATGTGTACTGAATTTGGTCTTTTAATATCACTGTCCTGGTACAGTAAGCCACGTTAAGCGTTTTCTCATAACGGTTTTGTATGGGAAGAAAATGCTTAACGTGTTATTAATCGCGTTGTGTTGATATTCTGGACTCATCTTATTTTTTTATGGTTTATTAATATGATGTGTACTGAATTTGGTCTTTTAATATCACTGTCTTGGTACAGTAAGCCACGTTAAGCGTTTTCTCATAACGGTTTTGTATGGGAAGAAAATGCTTAACGTGTTATTAATCGTGTTGCGTTGATATCCTGGACTCATCTTATTTTTTTATACATAGTATGGTTTATTAATATGATGTGTACTGAATTTGGTCTTTTAATATCACTGTCTTGGTACAGTAAGCCACGTTAAGCGTTTTCTCATAACGGTTTTCTATGGGAAGAAAATGCTTAACGTGTTATTAATCGCGTTGTGTTGATATTCTGGACTCATCTTATTTTTTTATACATAGTATGGTTTATTAATATGATGTGTACTGAATTTGGTCTTTTAATATCACTGTCTTGGTACAGTAAGCCACGTTAAGCGTTTTCTCATGACGGTTTCAATGGGAAGAAAATGCTTAACGTGTTATTAATCGCGTTGCGTTGATATCTTGGACTCATCTTATTTTTTTATACATAGTATGGTTTATTAACATGATGTGTACTGAATTTGGTCTTTTAATATCACTGTCTTGGTACAGTAAGCCACGTTAAGCGTTTTCTCATAACGGTTTTCTATGGGAAGAAAATGCTTAACGTGTTATTAATCGCGTTGTGTTGATATTCTGGACTCATCTTATTTTTTTATACATAGTATGGTTTATTAATATGATGTGTACTGAATTTGGTCTTTTAATATCACTGTCTTGGTACAGTAAGCCACGTTAAGCGTTTTCTCATAACGGTTTTGTATGGGAAGAAAATGCTTAACGTGTTATTAATCGCGTTGCGTTGATATTCTGGACTCATCTTATTTTTTTATGGTTTATTAATATGATGTGTACTGAATTTGGTCTTTTAATATCACTGTCTTGGTACAGTAAGCCACGTTAAGCGTTTTCTCATAACGGTTTTGTATGGGAAGAAAATGCTTAACGTGTTATTAATCGTGTTGCGTTGATATCCTGGACTCATCTTATTTTTTTATACATAGTATGGTTTATTAATATGATGTGTACTGAATTTTGTCTTTTAATATCACTGTCTTGGTACAGTAAGCCACGTTAAGCGTTTTCTCATAACGGTTTTCTATGGGAAGAAA